GGGGCCCAGGCGTTAGTCAGGGGGTAAAGGTCGGGAGCCAGCGGTGTTTGCACGCACGGTGCGGAAGTGGCACCGTCCCCGTGTCCCCGGTCCCCGACGGTGGCTCCCGGCTGGCAGCAGGTAGGGAGGGCAGAGCGTGGTGTTCCCCACCCCGGCAGGATGGGGTCCCCTCCCCGCCCCAGGGTGGGCACCCACTGGGGACCCACGCGGTGACACAGAGGTCCTGGCTGGCTCTGTCCTGGGCTGGTGGCCCCTGAGCCTGGCATGGCCGGGTGTCCGTGAGGGGGATCAGGCTCTGGGGTCCCTATAGCCCCAGAGGGACTGGCTCTGGGGCTCCCTATAGCCCATAGGGATCAGACTCTAGGGTCCCTATAGCCCCATAGGGACTGGCTCTGGGAGTCCCTGTAGCCCGTAGGGATCAGGCTCTGGGGGTCCCCATGTCCCCATAGGGACTGGCTCTGGGGCTCCCTATAGCCCATAGGGATCAGGCTCTGGGGGTCCCTATAGCCCCAGAGGGACTGGCTCTGGGGGTCCCTATAGCCCATAGGGATCAGGCTCTGGGGGTCCCTATAGCCCCATAGACACCAGGCTTTCAGGGGTCCCTATAGCCCCATAGAGGCCGGGCTCTGTGGGTCCCCAGAGCCCCACAAGGATGGGGCTCTGGGGGTCCCTGCAGCTCCATAGTGATCACGTTCTGGGGGTCCCCATAGCCCCATTGGGACTGGGCTCTGAGTCCCTATAGCCCATAGGGATCAGGCTCTGGGGGTCCCCATGGTCCCATAGAGACTGGCTGTGGGGGTCCCCATAGCCCATAGGGACCAGGCTGTGGGGGTCCCTGTAGCCCATAGGGATCAGGCTCTGGGGGTCCCCATAGGGATCAGGCTCTGGGGGTCCCCGTGGCGCTATAGGGACAGGGCCCTGGGGGTCCCCACGCCCCATATGGCCCAGACCTCGCTCTCCTGACGCCAGCTCCTGCCCCTGCCCTGTGTCACCATGGCGGTGGTGGCGGGATGGGGGCAGCCCCGCACATACCGTGGCCACATCCCGCTCCACCCCATCCCCAGCGTCCCCCCTGCCCCCCCGGTGTCCCCCCCCGGGTGATGCTGCCTCCAGAAGGACCCCCTGGGGCAGGGGTCCATCTGTGGGTGACACCAGGTCCTGGCCAGGCATTTTGGGGTGCAGGGGTGGGGGAAGAGCATCTGTGAGGTTCCCGACTCCTTCCCAGTCACCGCAGACCCCGATGGCGCCGGACGCCTGAGCCACCCTCCCGGTGGGGACCAGCCATGGAGACGGTTGTCATCGTGGCCATCGGGGTGCTGGCCACCATCTTCTTGGCGTCCTTCGTGGCGCTGGTGGTGGTCTGCCGGCAGCGGTACTGCCACCCCAAAGACCTCCGGCACCACTACGACACCAAGTGAGTGATCCCACGGGGGTGGCATTGTCCCCATCCCCACTGGGTGAGGGGGGGTCAGGGAGGGACCCCAAACCCCATTGGCTGGGGACAATGCTGGGGACATGCCCACTGTCATCAGGGGGATGACGCTGGGGACACATCCAGCATCATCAGGGCGTTGGGGAGGGGGGGAGGAGCCCAAGGAGGTGGCCCTGTCCCCAGGGATGTCCCCCATGTCCCCAACAGACCCATCGTGGACCTGATGGGGACCACTGAGATGCCGTCGGAGCCCTCGGAGCTGGAGCTGGACGACGTGGTCATCACCAACCCCCACATCGAGGCCATCCTGGAGAACGAGGACTGGGTCGAGGACGCCTCGTAAGTGTGTGTCCCCCCCCAGGCCCCCGTGTCCCCGCCACCGCTGCTGGGGACCCCCATGCAGTGCCAACCCCCCCATCGTGGGATGCAGGTGGTCAAGGTTTGGGGGTCACCAAGCCATGGCAGGTTCCAAGAAGGGATGGTCCTCAAGCTGGTGTCCAGGTGGGAATGTCCCCAGGGGTCTGGGGGACACAGGGTGTGGGCAGGCAGGTGGGGGGGGACGTGGGGGACGAGGATGGGGGGGCCACCCAGCCTGACC